GTTATGTGTCTCACATAAATGGCCACTTCATTTGGGATCATGCACCAGAAGAATGTGATCCTGATTGTGAGTGTGATACACCTTACTGGTGGGAAGCATCAGACGATGAAGATGAAGATGGATGGTCTTATCCCATCAGATATGCCATAAAAAAGAAGAGAGAAAGGAGAAGAATACATCTCCTTGTTCCCACAGACGTCACCATCGCCACCATGATGATGATGATCATGGTCCGAAGCAGAAAGCTAGAAGCTGGAAGGCTCCTGTCTCTACTGTTCCTTCTAACAGATTATCTCTATATGATCTGCTTAAAGAAACAGGTCACGAAAATCTCCTCCCTAAACAGAAGCCAGATCCAGTGATTCCTGTCATCCAACAATCCATCCCGTGTATAGCAATGATGGATCCGTATGAGCAGGATTTTCCTCCTCTTGAAAGAAGAACCAACAGAGAAACAAAGGTTACAGCAAGACCTTTCTCTGTTCCAACAGAAATCTCTCCTACTGGTGAAGCTAGACCAGTCTCAGCAGCAGAAGAAGTTCTTAACTGGCAGACCCAGAATGCGATCGGCCAGAATAGAACTGACAAAGATTGATTCAAAGCTTGACTTGCTGACTCTCAGAACTGATACTCTGACGAGCAGGCTTGACCAAGTCTCTGATCAAGTCAAACAGCTTATATGACTCTAACTTCTCAGGCTTATCAACTGGATGCAGATCTGAAGAAATTTATCGAAAAGGGATACATTGGACCAGAGTTTACCAGGAAAGAGCAAGAACTGTCACAAATCCGAAAGGATTTACAAAGAATCGAGTCAGATATAGCTAAAGATCATTCACAAACCATCTATGACCCTTATCCATCTTACCCCTCTAGTTTTCAACTCCCCACATATCCAGCATCACCTCCTTCTTATCCCAGAGAATCTGATTACAGCAAGGTTTTCAAAATGTCTTATCCTATTTTAAGACAATTGAGAAAACCCCGACAACCAACTTTTCACCCATCCAACCAAACCCTCCTCCCAAACCTCCAGTACGACCACCTCATTTCCCTTCATCTGAAAGACTTTTCTACCCATCATCCTCATATACTAAACCTATTGAACCAACACCGTCCTCTCAAGGAGTTGTAATAAGAACTCCACCATCATCTCCACCAAAACAAACTCCTCCTCCAGACAGAGAAAAAAGAAAAGAAGTTGCAGATCCAAACAAAACCATAGCCACTTTCCAAACTGTGGATAAAGATCAGTCATCAACATGGAACCTCTGAACCTGAATCTGATTCCTCTATTGAGTACAGTTCTAACTCTGATCCGGAGATATATCATGCTGATATCTCTAAAGTAGCAATGGTCCAGCCAGATCCCACAGTTGAAGATCCTATTGATGAAGACCCATCTGTTCCTCAAACACCTGAGCCAAGAAGAACAGACTATAAACCTACTACAGGTCCATGGTTCACTTTTGATGATCTTCCTCCAGAAAAATGGAGAGACAGACTCCATGAGTTCGGAGCATGGATTGACCTGCAGCTTGCCAGGCATGATGCAACTCTTGAGGAAGTTCTTACAGAATTTCTCTCAAGACTAACAGGAACATTAAGAGAATGGTATCAAAGTCTCAGCGATTACCAGAAGATAGCAGCAGCCAGAGTTGATAATGCAGGAACTCTCCTAGGACTCATTCATAAGGAATTCATTGGTGACTTCCAGATCATTAACAAAAGGCATCGCCAAGAATACTTTGAGATGAAATGCTGCTCTTTAGACAAAAGAGACTTGCAGAAACATTTCCAGAGAATGTCTGAAAAATACTACATGCTTGGAGGAGCCAATGATGTCAATCTCAGGCATACTTTTATTGCCTCTCTTCCAGATGAATTACAACCAGAACTTCATAGAGCTATCAATGCACTCCATAGAAACATGGCTGACATTTCCATTGGAGAAATATATCAGTTGGCATTAGCAACTGTGGATAAGCTCTGTGAACAACAGAAGTTCTTCAAAGGAATGCTGAAAGGACAGTCAAAGCTCAGGCATGCATGCAAGAAACAACATCTGAAAATAAAGTGCAAGGATGATAAAGATTGCTCTTGTTCTACCAAGAGAAAATCTCACTATCGTCGATTCAGATATCCAAAGGGTTCTTACTCCAGGAGAAGATCCAGAAAGCCTTTCCTGAGATACTTCAGGAGGCGCAGACCTTACTCAAAGAAATCTGACAGGTGCTACATATGCAAGAAAAAGGGGCATTTTGCAAAAAATTGTCCTAACAAGACAAAAAAGGATGTCAAAATGCTAGAACATTTGCAGACTGTTCTCATGATCAATGAAGATGAAGATGTAGAATCCGTGATCGAAGAACAAGATGCTCAGGATGAAGAGACACAATATATTCTTCCTTACTCTGAAGATGAGGAAACTGATTCTGAATCCTTTTCTCAAGAAGATGATAGTCCTCAAGGGTATTTATATTCCCTTGAACAGCCTGTGCATCCGTCTCTTTCCTTGGTTCCGTGGCTTCTCAGTCAGAACACAACAAAGTCACTCTTAAGCCAAATGTCAAAATTCATATCCTTCCAGGAAGATATGAAAAGCCAATTCCTGTTATTGCCTTTATTGATACTGGAGCATGCAGAACCATCATGAATCCTGATATTCTTCCCCTGAAGCATGGATCCCTTGTGATCAACTTTTCTTACTGCTGATTCAAAGCCCTTCAAGATTGAATGGATAACTCGCAGGAAGATTGGTATTCAATTCTTTCCAGGATGTGTCCTATGGATGAAAGTTCTTGGTAGTGATCTCCCTGGAAAAGACATTCTTATTGGATTTGATGCTTATAATCATACTAGGAATCTTCAAGTCCTGCCTAAAGGAATTAGATATAAAAATTTCTTTAGTGCATATACTGAAGTTCCTAATCTCTTTGAGATCCAACAGGCACCACCAGGATATGAAGATATTCGAGATCATCTTCTCAAGTTTTGTGCTGATAATCATCAACAGTTCTCTCATCCATTTCCATTATGGAAAAACCAAGAGTTTTTCATAAAACTCCCCTTCAAGAAAAATGAAGACATCAGCCCCACAAAGGCCTCTCATCCAGGAATGAATCCAGAAGATCTCAAGCTCGCTAAAGAGGAATGTGCTGCACTTCTCAAACAAGGCCTTATTGAACCAACAAAATCTAATTGGGCTTGTCAGGCATTCTATGTTGAAAAAAGATCAGAAATCAAAAGAGGGAAGAAAAGGTTAGTCATTGACTATAAGCCTCTTAATATTTTTCTTCAAGATGACAAATTCCCTTTACCAAAGCCCAGTTCACTTACAGTCCATCTTAGAGATGCAAAAATCTTTTCCAAGTTTGATCTTAAAGCAGGATTTTGGCAATTGGGTATCCACCCAGAAGATCGACCCAAAACTGCTTTCTGTATTCCAAATGCCCAATACCAATGGACTGTCATGCCATTTGGGCTTAAGGTTGCCCCATCACTATTCCAAAAGGCCATGACCAGAATCTTTGAACCTATGCTTGATAACCTCCTCATTTACATTGATGACCTTTTACTTTTCTCAAAAGATGAGGACTCCCATAAACTTTTATTGACCCAGTTCGGGGAAATAATTGAAAAATACGGGATTATGTTGTCGGCAAAGAAAGGTGAAATAGGTGTCAACAGCATAGAATTTCTTGGAATGCATTTTGAAAATGGTCAGTATTATCCTGGACCACACATTGCAGAAGAATTACTCAAATTCCCAGACGATAATCTCACCACAAAGCAAATCCAACAATTTCTGGGGATTATTAATTATCTTCGGGATTTTATCCCTCATGTGTCAAATCATACCAGCCAGCTGTCCAAACTTCTCAAAAAGAATCCTCCCGCGTGGGGGACAGAGCAGACCTCAGCTGTCAAGACCCTCAAAAGGATTGCACAGCAACCACCTCCTTTAAAGATCCCTGACAGAGGATTACGAATCCTCCAGACTGATGCTAGTGATGACTTTTGGGGAGCTGTCTTAATTGAAGAGATAGATGGAAAGAGATTTTACTGTGGACATGCAAGCGGACAATTCAAGGAGTCAGAAAAGCATTATCATGCTACCTACAAGGAGATCCTTGCTGTCAAAAGAGGAATCGAGAAGTTCAGCTTCCATCTCAGTCCTTATCAATTCAGAGTAGAAATGGACAATACGTCTTTTCCAAGAATGCTTGATCCCAAGGGAAAGACCTTGCCAGACAGCCAGTTACTCCGATGGAAAGACTGGTTCTCTCGCTATAAATTCACCGTTCATCATCTCAAAGGACACCAGAACATCATAGCAGATTTCCTCACAAGACCTCAGAAAGTTTCCCAGCCTCCAAAACTCCTGTCACTCTCCAGACCTCAACCTCTTTTCATCCTAACCATCTCTGAACCAGAAATGCCTCACAGAATGAGAGCCACCATTTTCCCTCCTGGATCCCGTCCTGAATCTCCAGCAGATGTCCAAAACCTTGCCAGAAGTACTATGTTCTACTGGCTCCACCGTGTTTTTGTAGATACTGGAATCCACCCTTATCCTCAGCACTTTGATGCCGATGCTCCTTACCTCACTGTTCCCATTATCAAAGGACCCATACCAGAAGAACTTTTATGGTACATCTGGTCTGTCTCAGCCAATTATACCTGTGCCATAGCCTTCTCAGCTGTAGTCGTCCATGACCACCTGAATGACATCAGAAATGAAAACTCTCCTCTTACCACACTCTTTGAGATGATAGCTCCTCTTCCCTACTGGAGAGGAAAACTCTGGAAAATTCTCAAAGAACATAATATTTGGGACTTACCAACTCCCAAACAAAAAAGGTTTTTCTGTCTGTATACCTTTTTCAGGAACTATGGAATAAGTGCTAACCAGAGGCTCTACACAGACAACCGTCTGATCCTCCAGGTCACCACCCCCTCATGGCCAAGAAGGGAAGCATTGCTAATGGAAAAAATTGGAAAGACATTAACTGCACTTAACCAGCCTGACACGGGAGAAGACACTTCATGTCTATCTCTTGGACCTTTCCCTCCAAACTCACCATCTGCCAGCAACACAACACTTGAAGAATTCCAGAGAGATTTCATCCTGAGTGCTGTCAGACCTCCACCAAATAGGTCACAAGTCTCTCCACCGACAGAAGCCACCGAAGACCCTTATGACGGTGACAACGACTCACAAATTCAACTCACTCAGCCTGAAGGACTCTATCTCCCTCAGCCAAGTTTCCAGCCACAACTCCCATTCCTTGCAGGGGAATCCCAGGATCCTAACCAAGAAGACCCTGATCCAGAACTCGAAGACTACTACTACTCAAGAAGCTCAAGGAGACACTATGACTCAGATGACCCTGACCCAGAAGGCATCATGAACCTATCCCCTAGCCACGAGCCTATCTATAAAGACTAGGGAACATCATCATCAGAAAATCTCCTTTTGGGATACTCTGAAGATAATGCGGGACCCGCCAGAATCCTACTTTATGTCGCTATCTACTTTTACTTTATTAAAGTAGTTTGTCCTGTAGTCTATTTCGTCCTCTTGTAATAAGTGGAGTAGTTGCCATTATTAGGTGTCATTATGAGAGTAGTTGGTAGTTAGTAGTTGTGATTATTAAATGTCAAGTCATAATGACGTTTACTATTACATCTACCCGTCATAATGAGGTGTACTATTAGGACTTTGTCATGTAGTGCCCCGAGCGTCTATATAAACCCCACTCTGCCATCAGTTACAGGCAGAAGGAGTTGTATCGACTTCCTTGTATAATACTAGTGTGCTTTCCTCATGAGTTCTCTCTAAATTTCTCTCTTCTTCTGAAAGCCTCACTTATGATATCTTTCTTCTGTCGCCAGAGATTCTAAGTATGCTCTGCACTTGCCTCTTTAAGAGGATCCTGTGCATCAGAAAATAGAATCCGACCACGATCCATGAAGGAGTGTTTGGTGACAATCTTTCCAGTTATCCTAGATTTGGTATTCAAAGCTGAGAGTCCTAACGTGGCCCGTTGATGAGTTGAGAATGAGTGGCCTTACCTGGACTGAAGCCTTGGATATCAGACTATGTTAGCTTGGTCCGATAAGTTATTGTTTTGAACTTATTTTTCATATATTCTTTTTTATGTCAATAACATGATTTCATGTTTAATTTGTCAATTTTTTATTATATCATTTTTATACCAACCGAATAATCATGTGCGGTATTATTGTATCTTCATATTTGTAAGTTTTGGGATAATTTAATCATATAACTTTATGAAAATATATAAAAATTTGAATTTAGATTATAAAAATTTGTAATTTAATTAAAAAATTATGGGTTTTAAAAAAAAAAACAAGAAGAAGGGAGAAGTAGATGGGCCTATAGCGGGAGGTTGGAAATTTTTTCAGCTCATCAGGAGATGGGTTGATTTTGGTTTGGCCTACCTTCCAACCCGTCCTACCTCTACAATTAATAACTAATAATCTATTAAGTGCCTGTTCGGCTTCAATTATTTTGAGCTTATAAGTAGCTTATAAGCTCTATAAGCCCGATTGGCACAATGGGTCCGTTTGGATCAGCTTTTCTGCAATCGAGCTTTTGTATGAAAAGTTCCAATAAGCTATAAGCTAAAATTAACAGCTTATGACTTATAGCTTTTAAAATATGGAGAGAGAAAAAGTTAAAAAATTTATTACCTCCTTTGGTTCTTATTATAAGAATCAAATAACTAATTTGTAGATGATAAAAAATTAGTTAAAATTAGTTGAAAGTAATGAATAAGTTATAAACTTACTTTTATTTTTAAATATGCTCCTAAAAATATACTTTTATTTTTTCATGTTTCACTTTATATTTAAAATATTTTTTGTGACTTCTTCATATTAAATTATTTTAATTTCATTGTATTATGTGAAATTATTTTTTTTAATCATGTTTCATTATTTATTAAAACTCATACCCATTTGGGTCATTTTAAATTTATTTTTACTCAATCATAATCCAAACAACTTTTTACTAATCTCATTTTTGCAAATTAGCTTTTTTGAACTCCAATACAAACACAATTCAACTTATCTAATTTGGCTTTTACCCAATTTCACTTTTCTAAAAGCTACTAGAACAAAACTTACATCCAGTTTATTAGGTCCATTATGTCCATTCCTCCAATAAAATACTGCCACATGTATTATTTTTCCACGTCATCACTTAATCCCAAACGCTCTCTTAACCCGCCGTTATTGTTACTGTCATCCTTAAAATCAGTCTCTCTCCTGACTCCTCCGCTTCGTATTCCTCCAGAATCAACAGAATTTGCTCAGGCCGCTAAATAAACAAAATACACTTGATTTGTGGACAATATATGTCAGAATTTAAAATCCATAATCAAAATTAACAAAATCAATTAGATTCCATAATTAACAAAAACATCTATCAAAAGCAAGCAATACCAGTGAATCTGGAGAAACAAACTATGATTTTGTTATGGGAAAATATGCCAATGTTGAAGGTAGATTTGGCGTAATCTGGAAAAAGCAGAAGCGAAGCATATTGTTGGACATATATGGTCTCATATCTTTCACAATCTAGAGAAACAAGACCTGATTTTGCTGTCCAAATTTCTAGAAATGAAACCTAATCGAAATACAAACAATGTCGTCGGAATCTAGAGAAACAATGGCTCCTTTTCCTTGAAAATTTTGTCTTATGGGGCTAGTTACGGAATTGCAGAAGAAGCTTATGCAATCTGGGAAAAAAAAGAAGAAAATTTTAACCCACAACCATATCGTCGTCGCTTCTACAGTTTGCTTAGCCTGTGGCTGCCACTGTTGCTAAAGAAGAAGATGAATCTGGCTGCTTCTCAATAGCTTCTTCTCTAGGTCTTCCGTCGAAGAACATGACAAAGATTGTGGGTGCTCGCTGTTGTGTTCTCGCCGGAGAAGAAGAAAGTGGTGCTGAACGCCTAGAGGGGCTGATCTCCCAAGAACAGGGGAGAGACCAATGGCAGGAGGGGCACTTGTCAAAGAGGAAGCTGAAGCAGCAGCATTGACGGTGCCTACTAACGGTGGTTCGAAAGAACGTTTGGGGTTAAGTGCTAATGTGGAATAATAATACATGTGGCAGAATTTTATTGGAGCAATGGACATAATGGACCTAATAAACTGGACCTAAGTTTTGTCCTTTTCAATAAGCTACTTTTCAATCGCTGATCCAAACGGACCCTAAGAGTACCTTCAAAACGACAAAGTGTGTGTGTATGAAGTTTGAGGACAACAACGATTTTATTAATATGAAACAAATATAAACTTATAAGCCCAATTGAATCCGCATTCTCATTATGTAATTGTTACAATCATATTAATCAAAATATGATATGATATAATCATTTTTCCTAGACTAAGGGCCTGTTTGGGTATCCCAAAACCATGGTTTCAGAAGCACTTTTCCGCAAAACGAGATAATCTCCTCCACATATTTACTTCGTAATCCGTAAAAGCACTTCTGAAACCATGGTTTGGTTTCTATCCAAACACACCCTAAATTATACTCCTCTGGTCTTATTTATAAGACACTTCTAACATGTTTCAAACATATTAAGAAAAAACCTTAAACTGCATTAACTCTTCATTAAAATATAGCAACTTTCTAACTTTACCCCTATTTAATATATACTTCTTTAAAAAAAAAAACTATCTACACTGTAATAAATGAAGGACAATATGGTACATTCATAGTAAAAATTTAATAAAATGACTTATAAATAGAAGAAGAAAAAATCTTTTCTCTTTGCCATATAAATAGGACAAGAAGAGTACATACGATGAGAATGCCGTGCTAATAAGATGATGGGTTGCTCAAGGGACAGAGCAAGATAAATAGCAAGTATATATTCATTTCATAATCTGTCTTGCAATGACACATTGGGTTTCAAATTCTCCCCATCGCTACAAATCTCAGTATGATAATCAAGTTCAACCCTAAACAACCTTTGCCACATGGGTTTAAACTTCAAAATGTACATATTATAATCAAAACCTAGTGGCATGTACTACATGACCACGTACATTTACTTCCAAAGTAGAAGACTCACTTATCAGCTTGGACCACTAAGTAATTGACCCTTTTTTTTACGAATTAGAGAAGTTGACACTGACAACCTGAGGTTAAACGGAATTGAACCCACAACCTCCTACTCACAAGGGAGCTTTCATGCCACTGGACTACAAGACCCCATGGGCAGTAAGTAATTGAATTTGAGCCAAGTGCTTGCTACCTCGCAAGTGAGAAGCCAAGTCACCTTCACTGGTGCATTTTGCATTACACATATCACATCTTAATCTGGAACTGTTCATTCCAATTGATGTTCCTACCTTCTTCTGCAATTCTTGCACCTTGGTGGTATTGGCATCAACGTCTTTGATTTTATTCTGCTGACTAACATTGATAGTTTCAACATTCTTATGCTCCATTTTTGGATGATGACTGTTTGTGGTATTCTGTTCTAATGCACTTGGTGTATAGATTATCATCTCCTCTTCTCCAGTGGACTCATCATTCTTCTTCACCGGAACTTTCTCAGCAACAAGCTGGCTTTTTGCGTTCAGTGCTTCACAAGCAGCCTTATGCTTCTTTCCTTTCAGGTGGGAATTCAAACTACCTTCAGAACATATTTTCAATTGACATATTTTACAAGTCCACATTTCTGTACATCTTTAGATGCAGAAACCTGAGAAGATGCTCCACTTCCTGTGTCTGTCACTTCGGTTCCTTTAGTTTTCCCGTTCAGTGCTTCACAAGCAGCCTTATGCTTTCTTCCTTGCAAGTGGGAATTCAAATCAACCTCAGAAAGTATTTTCAATTGACATATTTTACAAGTCCACATTATCTGTACGTCCTTAGATGCAGAAACCTGAGAAGATGCTCCTCTTCCTGTGTCTGTCACCGGCGTTCCTTTAGTTTTTGTATTCAGTGCTTCACAAGCAGCCTTATGCTTTCTTCCTTGCAGGTGGGAATTCAAATTAGCTTCAGAAGGCATTGTCAGCTGGCATATGGCACAAGTCCATTCTTTCTGTACATTCTCAGATGCAGAAATCTGAGGATGTGTTCCGTGTTCTGTGTCTGCTGCCATTTTTTCGGTTTTCGCCATGGCAGGTGAAGTGCTTTCATTTGATTTGAATCTGTCCATGGCTGTATTAACCTGCAACGTTGAAAACTTGGCATTAGGTGGGAATTCAAATCAACCTCAAAGTATTTTTCAATTGACATATTTTACAAGTTCACATTGTCTGTACATCTTTAGATGCAGAAACCTGAGAAGATGCTCCACTTCCTGTGTCTGTCACTGGCGTTCCTTTAGTTTTCGCGTTTAGTGCTTCACAAGCAGCCTTATGCTTTCTTCCTTGCACGTGGGAATTCAAATTAGCTTCAGAAGGCATCGTCAACTGGCATATGGCACAAGTCCATTCTTTCTGTACATTCTCAGATGCAGAAATCTGAGGATGTGTTCCATATTCTGTGTCTGCTGCCATTTTTTTGGTTTTTGCCATGGCAGATAAAGTGCTTTCATTTGATTTGAGTCTTTCCAAGGCTCTATTAACCTGAAATGTTGAAAACTTGGCATTGAGGTGAAGATTAGCGAAAATAATCAACTTCGTTCTCTGCTGTTTTTGTAACTAACTTCTTTTCTGGCAATCACAAGGAAAGTGGAAAAAAACTCACAACAACTATAAGTATTATCAGACCTAAGCTATTTGCAAATAACTAACTTTAGCATGACTTAGTTTTTTTTTTTGGGGGGGGGGGGTTGTTTTCCCTTTTTTTGGCTTGAAAATGACATGAAGTCTTACTTGCTTGCCTTCAGGAACTTGCTCTTTTTCAATCATCTCCAAATCTTTGGCGTCTTTCTGTTCCATGAGAAGCCTTCCTCTATTTGTCTGCACAAAGACAATAAGGTTGGAAGATAAGCTCCTTCATGTATCAAATACTCCAACCCAGAAAAGGTTTCAGTTTTTTCATGTTTGAAACTGGCCATAAAAGGGCAAGAATTGCATAAGAAATTCATCTGTTACATTTCATTCTTCCTGGTGGTTGGAACTGTTCCTATTGGTTCGGTATTAAGACTTTCTGCTGTGTTCCTTCTATTAAAGGTGAATTGGCTTAATTCTTCAGTAATCAAGATTCACATAAATATAAAATATGTAGGCAGCTGAAATGAAAGAGGGACCAAGTAAATTCAAACTCAACCCACACATCTATCAAGATTCACGTAAAAATTCACCTCCAGGATCTCATTCTTCTCCGCAGTTGGAACTGATGTTCTTGTTTCTGAATTAAGACTTTTCTCTATGATCTACAATAAAAGAAGATGATCATTGGCTTCATTCCTCAGTAGTCAAGAATCACAAAACAAGTAAGCAACTTGAATGAGATTGGTGGTGGGTACTTCTGAACTCAAACAAGCTATCTATATATTAAAACCAGCATGCATCCCTTTAAAGAAACCATTTGGTGTACTATTTTCAACTCAAGCATCTCGAACTTCAGGTGGTATCCAAGATGCCAGTGCTTCGGTATACCAGCATCCGTACAACCTAAGCATCCCAATTAAAAAGAGGCATAGGACAAACCCCCTTCAAACCACATCACTTTTAGCTTTGTTAGCTTTTATAAACTACTGAAATGTCTGCTTTCCATGAACACTTTTGACAGCCATACCTAAGATGAAAATCTTAATAACAGCCAGATGTAGTTCCATGCATTGCATAGAGTCTGAAAAACGAGATACACTATAAGCGGCTAATGAATAGTACGTGATATATATAGATATGGTGATTTTCATACCTTGCTAGCAATGAGTTCCTCTAAGACTTCAATTCCATTCTGTGTTATATACTTCTCAGCCTGCATTGTAAAGTCTTCTTTCTTGACAAATATGTTCTTCCAGTTCCTGAATCTGCTTATGACTGCTTGAGGATTCATGTGGATGCATGATTGAATGAAGTGATTATAGACATAAGCAGATCTTCCAAAATCCGGAATCACAAGGAAGGCGACCATGATTAGCTTCATGTAATGCCAATACTGAAACCTGATGTTGAAAATGAGGATGGATAAGTAAGATTGGTTCAGAACCTGAATGAATCTGATATCACAGTTCATGCAATTTTAACTGCAGATGATATAATCCAATTAGTAAAATATGATAAAAGGAAGAACAGCAACCATTTTGTTCAGTTCAATGGCCATGTGTTTTTGTTAAATGAGAGAGAGTAAATGGTTTACCATTGAAGAAGCTTGAGGAAAGGATACTCAAAGAGGTATATCAGTGAGAGAAGAATCCAATAAGAGATCAAAATCCGAGTGTCCGAATGGCTATCATGCTCAATTGCTTCAATGGAAGCATAGCTTTGACCATAAAAAACACCATCATCGTAATTCATAAACAACAAAAACAGCATCACTATCACTGAAACAATAATAGTTTAAAGGAAACATAGAATTATGATAAATGCAAGAACGCTTTTTCAGAGTTGCACCAAAACAGAGTCAGAGAGACACTTACAGAGGATAACCCAAAGCAAGCACGGGCCTGTAAATGAGAACAACACAGAATCAGTAATCAAAAAGCGTGAGGAGAAAAAGAGGGTTTGATAGACCCAGACCCATTTTCTAACTTTTCATAGTTAAAGAGGGAGACCATTGAGTGCTTAGGACATCGAACGAATAATGTGAACATACGGGCAAAGATTACAGATTATGGAATCTGATCAGAAGAAGAAAATGTGCAGCCATAGAAAAGAAGCAAAGGAGGGATATACAAGAGATACATACCATGAAAGAAAATCAATGCATTTAAGAAGGAGTGTGAGGAACCAGAAAGAAGCCATGTTGGAACGGAGCTGATCCCCCCCCCCCTTCTCGTTTTCGCACTGTGATGAGGTTGATTCTGCAGAGAGATGTGAAGAATAAAGGTGAAGTAAGGAATCATGAAGAAGACTTAACGAAGAAGGAAAAGTCAGAGAAGGAGGGAGGAAAAAAGAGAAAGTCGTTGTGGGAAGTGGGAAAGTAAGTTTACTGTTGAAGGACAGTAGCTAGCACACATCTATTTGGGATTGGTGGCGAGCGGAAGACAGGTACAAAACTCAATAATGTCATTAGCCAATCGTAGTACACTAGTACGGATTCAATTTATAGTAACTATTATCTAAATCTAATATCTAATAACAAAATATGTCAACATAATCATGTATAATTAAAAATTTTAATATAATAAATATAAAAAACTTGACTTAAATATAGCCCTATCTAAAATACTCTCTCTTTAAAATTGCATGTTCTTTTAAATTAAAATAAATTTAAATTTCATTAATTCTGTATTAAAATCTATTAAAGTTTTATTTATTACTATTATTATTAATTAGTTTACATGATACTCCTCGCATGATTACGTTGACGTAAAGAGGCTCATCGGGTCCTCCCCACAGGCCACGACCCCACAAAGAAGTGTTGTGAACATAGAATTAAAATGGGAAAATCACTAACAGGTCCCATAGAAGGCAATTTATTACTCTGAGGTCCCATAAAATGTCAAAATCACTTACAGGTCCCAAGAGACCTCAGAGTAATATTTTCATTTTGTAAAATGACATTACTGCCCCTCATATTCCAGATTCACATTTGCTCTGTCATTACGATTTACAACCTCAGCAGCAACTATTAACAACCTAATGAGAGGGCGTTAACAACCCTAGCAGTATCCGTTAACAACTTACTTTATAGAATTATATAACCTCTACATAAGAGTAAATTATAACCAAATAATATAATACAACAACTTTAACACTAAAATGGGAAGCTTTTTGATATCATTAAGAATTTTAACTAGATCCAATAGAATTATAGTAATATTTTAATGCGAAGATCCATTTACAACCTCAACAGTGACTATTAACAACCGAATGAGAAGGCATTAACAACCTAAGCAGTATCAGTTAACAACTTACTTTATAGAATATATAACCTCCGCATAAGAGTAAATTATAACCAAATAGTATAATACAACAACTTTAATACTAAAATGATAAGCTTTTTTATATCATTAAGAATTTTAACTAAACCCAATAGGATTATAGCAACATTTTAATGCGAAGATCCATTTACAACCTCAATGGTGAGTATTAATAACCCAAAGAGAGCTATTGACAATCTAGGCAGTATCTATTAACAATTGACTTTATAGGATAATATAACCTCTAACAACTATATAAGATTAACTTTAAAACTATTTAGTTATAGTTTAGTTAGTTATAGTTAGAAGTTATATTATCCGATAAAGTTAGTTGTTAATTGACACTGCTAAGGTTGTTAACAATTCTCCTTAGGTTATTAATACTTACTATTGAGGTTGTAAATGGATTTTCGCATTAAACTGTTGCTATAATCCTATTGGGTTTGGTTAAAATTCTTAATGATATCAAAAAGCTTCCCATTTTAGTGTTAAAGTTGTTGTATTATACTATTTGGTTATAATTTACTCTCACATGGAGGTTATATAATTCTATAAAGTAAGTTGTTAACGGATACTGCTTAGGTTGTTAATGCCTTCTCATTCGGTTGTTAATAGTCGCTATTGAGGTTGTAAATGGATCTTCGCATTAAAATATTACTATAATCCTATTGGATTTAGTTAAAATTCTTAATGATATCAAAAAGCTTCCCATTTTAGTGTTAAAGTTGTTGTATTATACTATTTGGTTATAATTTATTCTTATGCAGAAGTTATATAATTCTATAAAGTAAGTTGTTAACGGCTACTGCTTAAATTGTTAATGCCCTCTCATTCGGTTGTTAATAATCACTGTTGAGATTGTAAATGAATATTCGCATTAAAATATTACTATAATCCTATTGGATCTAGTTAAAATTCTTAATGATATCAAAAAGCTTCCCATTTTAGTGTTAAAGTTGTTGTATTATATATTTGGTTATAATTTACTCTTATGTAGAGGTTATATAATTCTATAAAGTAAGTTGTTAACAGATACTGCTAGGGTTGTTAACGCCCTCTCATTAGGTTGTTAATAGTCGCTGCTGAGGTTGTAAATCGTAATGACAGAGCAAATGTAAATCTGGAATATGAGGGGCAGTAGTAATGTCATTTTACAAAACGAAAATATTACTCTGAGGTCCCTTGGGACCTGTCAGTGATTTTGACACTTCGTGGGACCTCAAAGTAATAAATTGCCTTCTGTGGGACCTGTTAGTGATTTTCCCAATTAAAATCCGGATTGGACTTGTCAGCTCAGTCAGAAAACTAATAAACTGGATGCGGAATTGGTTCGGTCGAGCATAAAAGTCAGGATTAAATTGATCAGGTATGACCTAGGAATAACCTTGGTTAGCCCGACTGATTTGCTAAGTTAATCCAATTGCCTCTTCTTCTTTTTTTTAATAAAAAAAGCTATTTTGATCAAAATTGTTTTCTTTTTTTAAAAGTTGTTCATAATTACTATTATTTAGTGACTGAATGATTGTTAGAAAGAATATTTTGTTATCATCTAGTATTTACTTTTATATTTTGCTAAGATGAATATTTAATAATTTTACTAGTATGATAATATGATTCAATTTGTCAAGGGAATTGTAAAAAAAAGTTGAAAAGAAATTGTAAGCATATAATTATTTTTTTAATAATTCAAGATACATAATTGATATTTAGTTGACAAAAAATTAAATTATTGTTAAATTTTTTTTTTCTCACCATTTTGACCCGTGGACTAACTCTAGTCTAGTCTGAGAGGTGAGAATCAGGACCGACCCTTCAGGGCTAGCGGGCTTAAAAGAGCCGGCCCTCCAGGGTTGAAATTTTAAAAATACCCCAATTTGCTAGACCCGACCCTTAAACTACAGGGCTCAAGGTCGGCCCGCGGGCTTTTGACCCGTTTAAAAAAATGCTATTTTTTATATTTTTTATAAAAAATAAAAATAAACTAATGAAATTATTAATAAAAGATATAAATATGAATAAAATTAAGTAACAAATATAAAACATCATCACATGTAAATATCCATCAACATCCAAGAACATCTAAAACATTCATTAACAAGATAACAACATCCAAAAGTTTTATTTATAGTGCAATTGTGCAATAAATAAACACTATCATCAATCTTTTGAAACTTCATCATCACTATAATTAATTACTCTTCTTCATAAGTATGCTTTTCTTTCGTAACAAAAATATCAAGTTTTTCTTCTTTATAGGAATTTTACTTTTAAATTTTACAATATAGCTATTATTGTACTTTAATGTGAGAAACATTGTTGTTGAAACTCATGAATTTCTAATTCAAATTATAGAATCACAAATTATATAAGTATAAAAATACTCTATTATCAAATTATATATATAGTTTAAAAATATCAACGCATATAATATAAATCAAATCATTATTAAAGTCCAAATTAACCCATTTTTAAAAATTTAATTGGATAAATTATTGTCTAACACTAAATTTAATTTTAAAATCATAATAATAACTAAATATTTGAAATATTATTAACAATGTAAAAAATTAATAACATTAGAATTATATAAAAAATTTAAAAAACAAAAAAATTATAAAAGGTCTTAAACGGGCCGGCTCTTGGCCCTCCAAGGCTTATTTTCCATTTGAAGGGAAAAATATCAAACCCGACCCTCATAATTTCAGAGTCTAAACGGGCCGGCCCGATGGGCTCATCCTGTTTTCCCGGCTGTCTGAGTCATTGACTCTACCCAGTGTCTTAATGGATCTAGTTTTCACTACCTTAGTTGTAAATGAGAGGAGTAGATTATAGTGAGAATTTCGCTCAAGGAGTAATGAGGTGTAAAGTTAATACTATTATTTTGAAAATTAAGCTTAGTACTTAGAAATATTTTGTTAATATTTAAAATGTCAAGAGAAAAAAAATAAAAAAACCTTAAAAATTGCTAAAAAAACAAATCAGTATAAGTGAATTTTAAAATCCTAATTCAGACCTCTTGCATCATTTTGAAATTTTTAAATCTTGTAAAATTACACAAATGCTTTTTACTAATCATTTTTTTAAAAAAATATTGTCACTTCAACACCCTTAGCCAGTTTCCAACCGTCGACGCTCTAGCACCAACGACCTGCCGATGGCTAGCCAGTAGAGCTCCCCCGAGGACCAATCGCCACAGCTCCAGTCACTATTCTTTCTTATGTATTGATTACTCTTTTTTAACTATTTACTACATTTGTTTTTAGAAATCTGATGGACTACTCTTATTTTGCTATTGACAACTTTAGTATTGCAATTGACTACTTTTATTTTTAAAATTTTGGCGACTACTCTTATTTAGTTATTGACTATTCTCGTTTTCCTATTAACTACTTTTGTTTCAAAAATTCAAAAAGAATGTATTAAGTGTTGTTGAAGATCTAGTGACAACTTTTGTTTAATTATTTATTACTCTTGTGGAGTCAATAGTTATATAGAAACAGTCACCAGAACTTTGAACCAAAAGTAACTGATAGTTAAACTAGCGTAGTCAATAATTATATGAAAGTAGTCATCAAGAATAAGGACAGCATTATCATTTCATAATATTTAAAAATTTCAAAATAGTACAAAGAAATTGATTTAGAATTTTAAAATTCACTCACCATAATTTGTCGTTTAGTATTTTTTAGAGTATTTTAGTGTCTTTTTTTCAAATTTCAATATAACTATTCTTTATTAAAGTGTTAGGATTAAATGACTCAAGATATTTTATAAAATTAGAGGATTAATATAAAGCTATTTAATTAATGGCAGGATTAAAAAGGTTAAATAATTAAATTAATTATGATAAATATAATATATTTATTCAAAGTATCCCTATATAATATTAGTTAAATTAGGTGAATTAATTTAAAAAATTATAAATATATAAAAAGCAAAGTAAATTATAGATTCCAAACCAATTAATGAGGAATGGAAGCGCAAGGTACAAACAGGGAAACAAATCGCGGCAGCATCATGCTTCGATCATTTTCATGATTTCTTCAAGAGATTATTTCAACCAACGATTTTAATTCTTTTGCAGTTTTCCCATTTTGCCCCGCTGCCTCAATCACAAGGTTCTTCAATTTCTCAGCCTTCTTTCTCATCACCTTCCCTTCTTTCTGCTTCAGAACGACCTCCAAGCTCCTGATCAACGCGTTCTTAGTGAACAACCCACCTTCTATCTTCACACCAACCTCCCAAACATCCTCCACCATTCTCGCCGCCATAAGCTGATCTCCAAAGTAAGGCCTGCAAATCATGGGGACGCCACTCGACAGTGACTCGCTCACTGAGTTACACCCGCCATGGGTCACGAAAACTCCCACTGATTCATGAGCTAAAACTAGGGTTTGTGGAGCCCATGGAACTACCTTCCCCTTCCTGCTTGTTCTTTCCAGAAACCCTTTTGGAAGAAGCGCCTTTGAATGATCCTTAAGTGACCACAGAAATGGAACATCTTCGAGTTCTTCCAGTGCCTCTGCAACGGCGGCTAGCTCGTGAGGAGGAGGTGAAACCACTGTTCCTAAGCTGATATATACTAATGACTTGGCACTTTGCTGATCTAGCCACAACAAGCTTCCTGTTTCGTCGGTGTTCGCCGGCGGCGGAGGGGGAAGTGGGAGGGAGAGATTCAGAAAACCTGCGTACACTAAAGCCTTCATCTTTGATCTCAGATCCTCAACCATTTCAGGTGGGTCTAGTTCCTCGTAGAAGTTAACCACCACTGCCTGGGCTTCTGGAAGCACTCTTCCCATTGAAGCTAGCATTTTGGAAAACGCAGATTCTTCTTCTTTTTCTCCGTCTGTGAGTATCTACACAAAGAATAGCAAGCTGTTACAGATAATGATTCAGAATATCTTCAAAATTGAAAGCAAAAGTGCGTACAATTGTTTCTGGTAAATCCTGGGTTCGGAACTTGGAGAAGCCAGGATTAATGAAGGCCAAGCTTCCATTTTCATCACTACCAAGGCGGTGCTTTTCGCGGATCAATTGGGTGTAAAAGTGAGCAGAGAGAGAGCAAGTATACGAAGTCCAGAGAGCAATCCAAGGCACACCGTACTCTTGAGCAAGAACAAGAGAAGAAGTCACGAACGCATCAGAAATCACACAGGTCACTCTCATTTTAGTCTCTGAAACTGCCAAACTCACAGCCTGTTTCAGGTTCTGAGGACCGGCTTCGAGAAAGAAGTCCAACCGCCGCGAAGGGTGGTGGTGGGCGAGGTCGAGCCCGGCGGGGATGCCGTCGGAGACGGCGAAGAACTTGATGTTTTGTGGGATGGTGTTGCTGAATTTGGAAGATAACAGGGAATGCTTGCTCTGTTGGGTGGTGAAGAAGGATACAGTCGAGTGCGGGGCCGCACGTGCCAGCTTGACGACGAGGTTGAGCAAAGGGGCGGCGTGGGTGCCGTAGGGGAAAGCGAAGACTGCCACGTGTCTGTTCCGATCAGACCCGGCTCCGTCCATGGCGGTGGTGGTTGTGGGTGAGAACAGAACGGAGATATGAAGACGACCAGAGTTAAAACAAGTTGTGGGATTTTCATTGAAATGACGCCGGCATTATATGGGATCTGCGGTCCAATGAAGACCCTGATGTACCCGTCATCATAAATCAATTTCTTTTTTCGAATAACGAACTTCGACCAACATTCAATAGAAGGATTGATACAAAAATATCAGGGAAGTTTCATCAGCCTCTGCCACCTCTCTAAGTATAAGAATTAGGCAATTTGGTTAAAATTTGATTAAAGACAATAAATAACTTATTTTTTATAAACACCTTATTCACAGAGAGCACGAGTAGGAAAGAAAACGAGTGAAAAAAGAAATAAGATAAATATATAATTAACCAGGAATAAAACAAAAAATAAATTATATGATTAAACAAATCTAAATTAATACTTATGAGAAAAAAACAAAGCCTCTCCAAATACTTGAATATTATTTAAGTACAAAATTTGGGTTGTCTAAATCTAATTTTGATAGTTTAGATTTAATTTTTGCTTTTTGTTTTTAAATTTGGACAACTTTTGAAAAATTATGTTAGTGTATACAAAATTTAAAATAAAAATAATTTTTTAACTACCAAATTAAAAATTAAAAAAATATTTTAACTAAATTTAAATCATTAAACTGGGTGGGTGATGGTGCTATGACTGAAAAAAACAAAAACAAAAACAAAACCAACGTAATAATGGCGCTTTAAATGTAAGATGGTAGCTGGGAAACCTTGACACAGCGTACGGGAATTGCGATCTGGGACGGCTACGTGGATAGCTTGCGGCTACTCATTTTGGCGGAAGAGCCATCAGCCCAATTGTTCCACAACCATACTGAGAGGCAGAAAGGGACAAACAATTATTATAAACTTTTTTTGTTGTCAACTGTTATTATAAATTTCGAATAATTAGTTTATATAGTATTATAAAAAAATAATTATAATTATTTAAAAATAATAAATAAGTAAAATATATATTTATCTTTTTAAGTGCATCTTTGTTTATAAAGAGAGGAAATAAAATGTTGAATCAAATCTCAATTAAAATTTATAAATAGAACAAGAGGAAATATTTATCATATGAATTTTGCTTCCATAAACCCAATATTAAGGGCAAAATAGTAAAATAAGTAATCAATAACTTGTTGAAATTTGAAGAATAATTTTTTTTTTACATTTTTCTCTATTGAAATTTTATAATTTCATTTATTTTATTTCTAAAATCAAATTTATTAAAATTTTCTCACTCATTCCTCTTCCTACCTCTCATTCCGAGCGAACTGGAGAATTAATGTCCATGTGCATTGTCGGGGGGGTAAAATATAATTCTTATATATTCGTCGTAGAAAAAATTTTAAAAATTTATTGCGAATATAAATCATACTATTTAGAGCCTTGTAGTTTAACGATAACAAACATTTTTCTTTAATTTTTTAAACAAAAAATTATTAGTTCAATTTTTTGTATAAGAATATAATAGATGTTTGAATTATAATAAAAAAAATACTCTCTCATTTCTTTTCATAAAATTCAAACTTTTACATCCATCGATCTCTTTTTATTATATTCACCTTGAGATACGTTAAATGCATTTTTCTAATTTTAATTTTAATTAATTTTTCTCAAACATTTTATTTCATTATTTTTTCTTAGCATTTAAATAATTATGTATATCATAAAATATTAAAAATTTTGAGCATTTATAAAAGGCAATTGAATTAAAGGACTAAATTTTTTTCGCCAACTAGAACAACTAAAATTTAGAGTATGATTTTTAGCATTTAATTATAAGATTACCATTGAATCAGCTTCTCATTAAAAAAGACTAATATTATTGAGATTAAGGGACTTAAAATACATTTTTTTTAAACTTAAGAAAATTAAACTGAAACTTAATATAAATCTAAGCGACTAACTGTATACTTTAATATTTTTTATTATTGTTTTCTCTCACTTATTCACCTATAAATAAAGGCATGTTTATTTAAAAAAATTACGTTTCTTTTTTATCTATTACTTTTAATTAATCTCCTAATTCTGTTATCTGCATTCTTTGAACCAACGGTCAGGAATGAGCACATAAAACAGATTAACATTCTCTGGCTTGGCTGTCGTGTCATCCCAGGACACAAGAGAATTTTTTTTTTATACTAAAACATAAGTATCCTCGAGGCAATCTTATTCAAGACATTATCGAGCACTAAATGTGAGTACCTCTCTCAATAGGAATTCAAATTTTAATTCGTCACATTATGAGGAACTAACCTCTCCCGCTAGACCTAATCCCGGTTGGTAAAACACAAGAGAAATTAAAAGCTTACCTATTCTTGTGAGACACGTGCCCCTACTGTTAGTAACCTTTGGCCTAAGACCATATAAGTGTTTGAATTGACTTTTAACATGTGATTCTACAGAGTTTGACCTAAATGTATGAAAGAATTTTTGTACTCCTCCGGTCCTAAATATAAGACCCTTATATAAGTGTATATAAGAGTCTTATATTTAGGACCAGAGGAATATTATTTTGTATAAAAATATTTTTTTAAAAAAAGTGTTTCTATGAATTTCCAAACACCTCTTATATCAAATACTGACGCCTGAAGGCAACTTTTAGGGTAGTAACACTTCAAACAACTAAAACTAAACAACATTGTAAAAACATTCTTATACTTAGCAGAAAAAAAATATTTAAAAAAATCAAAGGAAAAGAAATAAGTTAGGCAAAATTCGTGGAAGAAAATAATCATTTACTGCTTTGGTTCTTTTTTTATAAGTTACTTCCTCCTATTCATAGTATAAAACATTTTTAACTAATTTATAGTATCAATCAAAATAATTAAAAACATTAAATTTGTTGTAAAATTTAAATGATTCTCAATATTAAACTTTGTTAACCATATCAAATTCTAATATTATATTAATTTTTACTTTCTTTTGCCATTCTTATTAAATATGAGTATATATTAAAAAAAATATTTAGTGCTTATTGGGACTATCAAAGTGTCTTATAAAATAAACCAAAAATACATTCTAAAAGATTTCTTATAATATGGACCAAAGAGAGTGCCTAGAAGATTGTTAATGACTATTTTTTCTAATTTCATCTCAATCTAATTAATGTTGAAAAGAGAAAAAGAAAGAAGAGAAAGAGATGAAAAGGTTTGTAAATGGAGAAGTTTTTCTGTCATAAATTATAATTTAAGGTTTAGGCACACATATTAAAATTTAGATATGTGCAGAGGATGATACACAACAATGAAGTCACAATTCAGGCTTAAAATTCGATTAAAAACGGCATTATTTAATATCAATTAGTTCCTTTTCGGCCATAGGTTCTCTCCTGGGTGCCTAGTACTAGTGTTGAGCCCTAAGCTATTTTGACTTTTGACTTTGACCCGACCTTTCCCTTCCCTAAAGTCAACATCAGTTATTATAATGCATGGGATCCTATGGGCCAATTTCAGTTTCAGATTTGCTGGTTAAAAAAAAAAAAAAACCTTCAGTTTCAGGTTTTGCCTAGCAACAATATTTGAAGACCAATAATGTATAGAAAAAAACTTTTAGACCAAATAACAACGCGTGCCACTTTTCACCCCAAAGGTATATCCCACATAGTATGGGCCAGTGTTGTTTTTCAGCCCAAAATCCGGTTCTAAACATCGTGGAGTGTGTGGGATCAAAATTGGCAACGTGGGGAGGTGCCTATATTAATACTCCTTCGGTTCTTAATATAAGATCTATTTAACCAATTGATTAGATTAAAGAAGTTAGGTAAATTAGTTAATTATACGAAAAGTGACACATTTTCCTAAAACACCATAATCATCTTTCTTAATACCCTCTCTCCCTATTCTACTTAATTATGGTTGGGGGAGTATCCATAGGGGTAATTTAGAGAAAATTAAAAAATATGAGAAATGAATCTTATATTTAGGACCAAAACCAACTCAAGAATTAGGTCTTATATTAAGAACCGGAGGAGTATCTAATAGTATTTCGAACAGAATTACTTTTAATAGGATAATACCTATGTCTACCAAAAAAATCGACTGTGTGGAAAGTTGAATTTTATCTCTTACTGGACGTATAACTCTTGTGAAGTCTGTTTTAAGCACCATTCCTTTATATCCTATGCAACTAACTCAGTTGCCGAAGAGAATTTTTTTAAAAGTGGAACAAATTGAAAGGAATTTCTTATGGGGCAATAACCAAGAAAAGCACGGTTATCATCTTATTGGATGACAACAAGTGATGCTTCCTAGATCCTATGAAGGTTTAGGTTTTAAGAGAATCTTTGCTCTCAATTCAGCATGTGGTGCAAAGCTGGCTTGAATACTTCTAGGAATGGAATCTTCAGCCTTAAGAGTGCTTATTATCTTCTTAGACAAAGCCATGCTCTCTTTATAATCCTATTGTCAACCTTAAACGGAAATGGAAAGAGGTTGAAAGAGTTCGAGTCTTCTCTAAGGAACTTTTCTGGATAGATTGCCTATAAATGTGTGGAGAAGTAAATGGTCCAACTGCTCTTCTTTATGTTCTTGTTGCATGGCAAGTAATGAGGATATTTTGCGTATGCTAAGTAAATTGGGGATATGCCCTCTCTTGTATTAAAGAAAGTTAGATAATTAATTTAAGAATATTATAATAAATGCATTTTCATTTTTTTGAATGCCTTGGTTATTCACATGCAATGAAATTACTCCTTAATTAGGAGCCCCTTAGTATGTGTAATCAATGGGAATATTTTTGGCAAATAATTATGAATTTAAAAGATAAGATAAATTGGAGTTTTTATACGTAACATTAAAATAAATTTTTTGTCTAGCTCTTGTATTTTTGAGACTGAAGACAGTAGTAGCTTATTATAGATTCTATATAAAGGAAAAAGCGAATTCTAAATTTGATGCACAATAATATGCATAATTTTAGAAATCAAAGATGATATTAATTATTAATTTGATTAAAAAAAAGGCTCTTCAATTGAGTAGGGCGTTAAACATAAAAGCACATACATAGATATAATGGGGAAGTGAGTATGAAGCAATCAATGGAACACAAGTAATTGGATGAAGGAAACGCAATGCCGTTTATGTGTCCCAAAATAAGGAAAATAAGTAATTAATTGAGACCACCTTTCCCTAATCTAAGGCTTAAAGTAATGCTCCACGTAATTGAACTAATTCTGGCCAATAAAATAAGTAAATTAACATTGTCAGCTTCATCTCAAGACAAACAAAATAGAGAGTGTGTGAGCAAAGTTACCTTGTCAACTAAAAATACTTTGATCCTTTTTAAGTAAGGCTGAGTAATAAAATTTAGTGAATAAAAAAAATTACATAAAAAATGACAATATTACCATATAGTTGTAATTGGAACTTGGGTGCTGCATGCCTTTGTAAATGTTCTATTTCAAAATTTATTATCCCATGCCCCTATGTATTATAATTATTAACAATAACTCATTATTTTTATGACTTGACAATTTCCCATTACTATCACATAAATATTTTATTTTAGAATTTATTTTCCCATGCACGTATTATAAGTTATTTTTTCACGTAACCTATAATCCATGCAGAAATTAAAACTAATATAAAAATCACATAATTAAAAAAATGTTTTTATACGATATTATAAACTATGAAATAAAATATGGATCCTATCTTTCTACTTTTCAATCCTTACATGAATTGATCCCCACACATATACAAATGCCAATTCAAACCAAAATCTCCATTAATAAATTATGAAGACTTGCCTTTGTGCAGAATTTGGTCGGTTTCTTGACCATGACTTCCCTTAATGGTAGGCAAATCTTGATTTTCGTGGGTATTCAATTCTAAAGATATTTCATTGCTAGTTTCCCCCATAAACCATAAACTAGTCCACATTCATCCTTTGCCTTTTCTTGTCCCCATTACTACTAGTATAAAATAAAGTTTAGCTAAATTGAATGCTAAAGAGTCACTCAAAAATTGATATTGGACTCTTATAAAGGTATTTCCATAGTATCCACTGATAAGATTTTTATATTAATAATGAGATTGGAGCATATACTCTTATTACGATCATGATTCACTTTAATTTTAAAACTTTTATGCCTCATTATATTTCAAAGTCCTTTTCTCTATACAAACTATAAGATACTCTTTTAGTATTGGGTTGAGCAGGCTGAATTTTAAATATAAAATCTCAATACTTTTTATTTATATATTTACAGTTTTTTCTTAAATTAATTTCCTACTTATAAATTAATATAAAATCTAATGTTATATACATATCAAAAAGAATATTTTACACATTTGTTATAATTAACTACTAATTCAAATTCAAGCCATATGGCCCAATTAGAAGGAAATTTACATTATAATAATCTTAAAAACTTTATTCTAATTGTTTTTGTATTATGTTTTTCCAAACCCGTCGAAGTAAAAAACATAGTATTCGAGTTGGAGAGATGGACACGTCGAGTTGAAACTGGGGTCGTTTATTGTTGGCCCCATCAAAACTACCAGTCGTTTGAATGGAAATTGAAACCCCTCGGCTTTATCCGTGTCATTTTCGTATAAAAGAGTCAATCATGGGTATTTTCATAATTCCACGCTTTTAAAACCACGTGGATTGCAATTTCGTTTCGCCATTAACACGGTCTCTCTTCCCTCTGCATATACGCAAGAATACGGAAAAGCTCTCTCTCTCTCTCTCTCGCTCCGCCCCCCTTCTCTATTGTCTGCTTTCTCTCTCTAAGGTCTTAGTGAGAGAAAGCTCGTACCGATTCACAGAGAGAGAAGAAAGAGACCGTACAAAGCCTTTTAGTGAAAAGGAGAGATTAATGGAGGGGAAAAGGTATGCGGTGTTGCTGTGTGCGGAGGATTCCGAGTACGTAAGGAAGAAGTACGGAGGGTATTTTGGGGTTTTCTTCAGAATGCTGGCGGAGGAAGGCGAGACTTGGGACGTTTACAAGGTGGTTTCCGGCGAGTTCCCGGAGGAGGACGGTGATCTCGACGTCTACGACGGATTCGTCATCACCGGCAGCTGCAATGACGCCCACGGAAATGACGCCTGGATCCATCGCCTCATCACTCTCATTCAGAAACTCGATTCCATGAAGAGAAATCCTCGGCATTGCTTCGGTCACCAGGTAACTAAAGCAGCAATCGTTCATTCACTTTCACAGTACGATCATCATTCATTCGTTCTGATTTTTGATCTTTCTTTTTGAACATCTTTCGTAAATAAAAATACTTACTTACTCTTTATCGATACAAAGCACTATCTTTTCTTTGCCCCCTTTTTTCCGTCTTTAAAAAAGATTAAAAAGTATTAGCTGAATACCAGTAAAAATATAGAATGTGTGTTATCAGTTTACCATTGGTTTTGAAACTGGACTTTAAAAAACTATGTTCGTATCGTATGACATAGCAGGCATTTAAAAAGAAAAAAAAATGATCCTTCATTTCCTGAGGAGGCGTTCAGATTTAGAGTTTCTTACTTATAAAATTAGTTGACTATTATAAAGATTTTGCTTGTGTGTCCTGTACCATTGCTTTTGAAACTAGATTTGGGGTTGCTTATGGAAAACATCGTTTGAAAGAAGAAAAAGTAATAACAATCAGGGGAATATATAGGTCTTCTAAGTACTAAGAATTAGGTGGAACTTGAGCAGAGTATTATCTGATTTTTTTTTTTTTAATAGGAAAGAAGAAAGATAGAAATTTCCTTATGCGTGGATTTTCTGAGTGGATATTGCACATGGCGGAAATTAAACGACAGTCTAATACAGATGATCAAATTAAAATTGTTAAATATTATTATTGATGTGCTGGGATGATTAATCATACAACTGAATCTTCATAGCTTACTGGAAGTTTAAGATCAGACTTATAACCCAATTGAAGCAAGAGATTATTTTGCCTGATAAATTTATAAACAATTATGGAGATACACCAGAGTGGACTCTGGAGCAAAACGGGACCGTTGCATTATATTGTAGCAAGAGCACTAGAGAGGACGAAACCAACAAGGATCCGATGGCACATTACTGATCCCCTCCCCTCTAGTCCACGAGTACTATTGTTTGTTTCAATATTTGTACTGTCAAATATAATTGATATCACTTCGTGACGCATATTATTATTATGTAAAATACTAGCTCTGATTTTTAATATAAGATCTCATTTGATTTTTATTTTGATCCTAAATATAAGATCACAATCTATTTTGTTTTTAATATTTATACATTTTTTTCTAAAATAGTCTTTCTTACAATGGTAGTTCTAGCCAATACATTTGATTAGTAAGGATATACTAGGAAAGACACACTTATTTATTACAAATAACTAATTTAACTTCTTTCTTTAATCTTTTCAAATTAGTCAACCAGTTTTTATAATTAGAACTGGAGGTGGAGCCTCAGTCAGTAGAAGATATGACGTACTAAAAGGCATAATGATATACTACCTCTGGTCCTTAATATAAGAGCCCGTTTGACTTTTTGTTTGGTCCTAATTATAAGACCCCAATCCATTTTGTCTTTCAATTTATGTATTTTTTTCCAAGATAGTCCTTCTAATAATGATAGTTCTAGCCAATACACTTAATTAGTAAGGATATTTTTGGAATGACAACACTTATTTATTACAAATAACTAACTTAACTTGCTTCCTTAATCTTCTCAAATTAGTCAATTGGGTCTTATAATTAGGATCGGAGGTAGTATTTCATTAGAAAAAGAATTTATATTCTTATTTGAACATGTGAATTATGTATATGTTATTCATCTTTTAATGAATAGTTACTATTGATATTATTAACATCTTAAAATTTACTTATTCTTATTTGATGGTACGAAACAATATTAAGTATTACTTTCGATTCTTAATATAAGAGTTAGCTTGATATTTAATTTGGTCTTAAATATAAGATCTCAATTTGTTTTGTCTCTCGTATTTTTCTATTTTTTTTAAGATAGTTCTTATAGTAATTGCACATGTTAAATGTTTCATTTTTAACTAATACATATGATTAATAAAAGTATTTAGAGGAGATGATATCTATGTACTACAAATAACTAATTTAACAAACTTGCTTAATATACTTAAATTAGTTAATTAGGTTTTATATTAAATACAGGTAATATTAGATTAAGTGCCCATGTCTTCTCTTAGCCTGTTTAATTGTGCTTCGTTCTTTCTTCCTTTCTTTGTTTCTTTTTAAATTAAAGCCTGTGGTCGTTAAAGAAACACGTGTATTTGTATTTTCTGGCTTCTGAATCTGATGATGAATTTTTATCATTTAACCTTTGGCAGTGACGTGCATCTAGATATTTCGTGAGTGTCTACTGTACATATATGGATGTGGAACACGTACATTGTTTTAGATGTCTACGTCTACAAAGCTTGTCGTCGACATGATAAGCACCACTTTGTGATGCTTTTAATTTCCATTTGGAACTGCATTGTATAATGGTTCTTTTGAGCCATCATATAATTAATGTTGGGGGGGGTGGGTGTGACATACATCAATTATTTTAATTGACCCATTTTGACAGCAAAGAATAAACTATATTGCAGATGAATGACCCACTGTTTTGACATGGCGAGTTTTGGTCAATTCCAAAACAGCACCGTCCATTTCTATTTCCTTTTAGTATGCTTTGGTTTTTGTTTTAGAAGGTTGATTAGTTAATTAATTTGGATTGGGGTCTTGTGATGGATCATCAGATACTGTGCCGTGCATTGGGCGGGAAGGTGAGTCGGTCTCCCACTGGTTGGGACATCGGCGTGAGAACCATAACGTTAACATCACCATCGCCGCCTTGGTCTCCGACGTCTCTCGTGCCGCCGTCAAAGCTGTCCATAATCCAATGCCATCGCGATGAGGTGTCAACTTTTGCTTTTCTATTGTGAATATAATGATGGTTGTTTGCATGAATATCATGTGCATTATTACACACACACACAGATTAATAGATATGGTGTCGGGTGGCTGAAAAAAGTGCAGGTGAGAGAAATTCCGGCGAAGGCAGAGGTGATAGGTTGGTCGGAGAAGACGGGGGTGGAGATGTTTAGGATGGGAGATCACATAATGGGGATCCAAGGCCACCCTGAGTACAACCTTGACATCCTTTTTCACCTCATCGACCGCCTTGTTCAGCGTCACCTCATCCTGGTGCGTAATTTCTTCATTCTTTAAAACCATAAAAAAAAAAAAAACCATATCACTATACTCTTGCAATATTGCAAAACTAATCTGATATATATATATATATATATATATATATATTATATATATATATGTTCATGTTTGGAATTAATGATGAACAGGAAGCTTATGGCGTGGAAGCTAGGGCTAAGATGGGGTTGGCAGAGCCTGATAGGGAGGCTTGGAAGAAACTCTGCACCACTTTCCTCAAGAGTCGCTCATGAATTATTATTAAAATGGTTGTGAATGCGAGAATGAGGGAGAAAAGTGGTTTGATTAATGACAAGAATTAATATTTGCCAGAACTGGACAAGTCTTGGTGAATATGGATATCAGAATCTTTTATATATACAACTCATTATT